TAGTTTGCACAGTAACACCAACTCTGCGCTCCCCTATGTATGGTTTTCAACCCATACCACAATGAGTTGTAATTAGATCTCAGGGGGAAGCAGGCTTGTATTTGGCAAGCACTTGAAAGAATATAGGGCAGTGATCTTGAGAGTGGAAGTGTTCATGCCAGTGTTCTGGGCAGGCTTCCAGTTTCAGTAACTATATAGCACCTCACTAAATTCCCACTCCTATTTCAATTTGATCTAGAATCCTTCTTTGTGCATTGTCAGCAGCTGCATTAGACCCCAGAAGTGGTGGGTACCCTTCAATAGTGAAGTGATTCCTTTACATAATGTTTGTGGGATGAAAAGTGATGGAAAGATCAAAGTTTCTCTGAAGTTCAGCTTGTTGCTAGACTTATAATTGTAAGACGAGGTTTCTCAGACATCCTTGTAACTTAACTCTGGAAGTTGAGCTTGACTTTTTGAAAACATGAAGTAGACTCTTTTGGACATTAAATGAAACAAACACTTCTGCAGTTTGAGATTTTTATTTTATTTTTTTAAATCGCAAGTGTTGATGAAGAAGAATGGTGTAGTATTTTTGTCCAATGGACCCAAACTCCACCAGACTTGAAGTTGCATGTATTCTGTGACACACTTTCCCTAAACTCTATAGTGAGGCCCCTTGAATTTCATCACATTGTGACACTACACAGTGGAAATTCTTTGTCAGCTTAATTTAAATAGTCAGTGAATATTCTATTATCTAATTTAGTAAAAAACAGTACAGTCCTGACCCTTTGCTTTAATTTGGTATTAAACTATTAAACAACTATAAGGTAGAAATTTGGGAGTGGGGTATCAGAGCAAGAAATTTTGGCATCTGGGTAGGGGACAAATGGGACTTCTGACAACTGTATAGGTGACCGAGTAGTTTGAGATTATGGGATGAGGACATCAGGTGGATGTTTCTGCTAAAATTATTAGTGAAATGTAGGTTTCGATGTTAACACTCCATTAAGATAGGGACATTTCATCTCATTGATTGTTTCAGGCTGTCTGAAGACTCTAGTATATATGACTGCATCTGTTACGCTAGAGCAGTGGTCTCCAACCTTTATACACACAAGATCACTTTTTGAATTGAAGTGCAACCCAGGATCTACCCTGCCCCTTCTCCGAGCCCCTGCCCCGCTCACTCCATCCCTCCCCTCTCCATTGCTCACTCTCCCTCACCCTCACTCACTTTCATGGGGCTCGGGTTCGGGAGGGGATGCGGGCTGTGGGCTGGGGCCGAGGGGTTCAGAGTGTGAGAGGAGGCGCTGGGCTAAGCCTGTGGCAGGGGTGGGGTGCAAGCTCTGGGAGGGAGTTTGAGTGTTGGAAGAGTGGCTTAGCTAGAGTGGTACAGCTGTGCCACTGTAGCACTTGCAGTGCAGACATACCCTGAATTTGTCTTTAAAGTTTTCTTCACCACCATAAGGGATAGAAATTCTGCAACAAATTACGTGAAGGGTAGAATGCACAGAGATGGCTTCCTCAGGATATATTAAAAATGAAAACTATTTACTTTTCTTAAATACCTTGGGCATAGAATAGTTTTTAGCAAATAACGAAAGAATGCACATTCATTACTAACATTTTTTTTCAAACACTATACTTGTGTTGTCACTGATGCAAATTAAGAGAAAAGCATGGCCAAATAATATTTCTGTTGTCACACAAGATATAGGTTTTGTCCGAGATCTGTTTGGTCTAGGGCAACTTTACAAGTCCTTAGATTTGAAGACAAAAATCTTTCTGTGCAGACTGACCTTTGCAGATGGTGAGCTTCAGCATGTATGTGCTGAATGGTCTCTGTTCTTCACGCAGTTATGCTGTCCTATCTCTCCCTAGACAAAATGAATCTATTTTTCTTTGTCCACAATTCTTCACAGCTAATGCAGTATATGTGATTTTCAGATCTTTAAGGCCTATTATGGAAGTTAGATATTGTCCACGCAGGTGCTCTGAAGAGCAGTGTTGGGCCAGTTTGAGCTTTGAAGTCCTGTGCAAACTGGAGGAGCATTTGGAGAGAGAGGCCTGTGTGGTGAGAAATGGAGGGCCAAGCTCTCCTGCAGTTCATGAAGGTTTTTGAGGTGTAATTTATGTGATGACTTAATCATATAGTGATATACACTGAAAATACGCTTTCAACAAAAGATTCCTCTGTGGCATTGTACCTGGTCCTCTCTGTTCTTGCTGGCATTGACTTTTCTAGATGAAATCCAGTTACAACTGCTATCGAACTGGGTTTGATGCATTTTAAAGGACTATTTGCAAGCTGGTGGATTTTAGAAGAACCATGTCTAGAGCACTGAGTGAATGTTTAGATGAGACCCTGCACTAATGGCATGTTAGGTATTTTTGCAGCAGTGAAAAGAGGGGCTTGCAACATCACCGCTTGCTCCAGGGTAAGTCACCTTGGTTCAAGCCTTCCTTTACACTGGTGCAGTGCAATTACGCTGAGGAAAAGGAGAGAGAGGTTGCGCTGATGCACTAGTGCCAAAATCCTTAATGTAGACATGCTCAGAGTAGCCTAAGGCAAAAGAGATAGCGGTGACACAGAGGGAATGGCAAAAATTGTGAAGGAGACAGGAAAAATGGGTACTTTGTGGAGTAGCTCAACAGGGCCACTTGGTTCCCAGCCATTCCTGCTTTTAATACGCTCAGATGTCTTAAAATAAGCTATAAAGTAGAAGTAGGGTGATATTAGCTGGAATATTGCGTGCACTGTTGGTGTCATACTCTAAAAGGGAGATAGAAAAACTGGAGAGGGTTCAGAAACAAGCTACAAGAATGATTAATGATCTGGAAAACACACCTTACAATGAGACTAACCAAGGTTAATTTTATTTAGTTTACCAAAGGAAAGGTTAAGAGGGGGCTGGATCAGTCTATAATTATCTACAGAGGGAGAAGATACCTGATATTTGAGAGCTCTTTAATCTAGCAGGCAAATATATGACAAGATTTAGTGGTTGAAAGTTGAAGTCAGTAAAGTTCAAATTGGAAATAAGATGCAGTGTTTTTTTTTGTTTGTTTTTGTTTTTAACAGTGAGAGTAGTGCCAAGGAATGCAGTAAATTCTCTATAACTTGAGTTTTAAAAAGCCATGGAGTCTTGATTTAAAAAGATAAGATATGCTTTAGTAGCTTAGCTACAAGTTTTTGGGCTCAATGCAGGAATCACTAGGATAAAACTATGGCTTTTGTTATGCAGGAGATCAGACTCAGAAGGATCATTATCATCTAAGCCTTAGAATCTATGAATGAAACATCAGCCTTGCAGACCTTGTGAATGCTACAGTAGCTGTACAGAAATAATGCACGCTTTATAAAGTGTGTTTGGGCTGCATACACTTCTTAAAGTGTATATATTGGGGGTTCTATTCCTGAGTCCCTAAGATCTGTAGTAGCTCTTGCAGACTATAACACTATGCTTAGAAAACAAAAACCTAAATTCCTTCATTGCTGGTGGTAGTTGACTTGATAGTTAATTAAGATGGATATTGTACCTAAAGTGTTTAAATACAGTTGAACTTGTGAGTAGCTAATCAAGAGACTAAAAAATTGTTTGCTTAAAGAAGTTGATCTCTTAATAAAACATGTATCCTGCATGTTTGGGGCAGGGTACTTGAAGACAGGAGGGTGCCTAGTTTAGCAGAGGTCATACTGGTTTTACTCTATTCTGCATATGTCACCTATACTTTTTTCCTTCTTCCAAAGACACTAACCCATGTGAACAGCTCCAGCTGTTTGGAAAGAAAAAGCACAGGAAATAAAAATTCTAGAGACGTGTACTTACCTCGAACCTTGCCAGCCATATGGCTTTGGTCTTCCTGAAAACAGAATTGTTATAGAGTTTAAAAAAAAAAAGCTAATGGTGTCACTTGGGCAGAAGAAAATTCTAGTTGTCTATACATTAGTCAATAAAATTGAGGCTGTAGACTACTCTGGAATCATCCATGCTTGCTCCTCAGTCATTACACACAATGGGCTTGCAGCTCCCTATGTATAGTGATGTCCACTTGGAACAGGGTTTTTTTTTCTATTATGCTAGTCCTTGCTAAAGCTGTTGAAGCATTCTTTTAAGTCCCCCTCCATAGCTTCGAGAGACATTAACAGGGATGGTGGGTATGAAAAGGGTATCTTATTTCTCCTCAGTATTGTTCATAATGGTATTTCAAAAGTTGTAGATTACAGTCACAGTTCTGTTTATTTAACATATTTAACAGCAACAGTGACTTTGACTGTAATCTGTGACCTTTCCCCCCCAAGCAGTAGTTCACCAGCATGTTAAAACAGATCTAGCTCAAGTGCTAGTGGCAATATTTTGTGCAGTCTCCAGGACTCTCTGGGAAGGAGGTTTAGGGAGGATCTGCCTTTCATATGTTAATTTGACTTCTCTTAAGTTTATCCACTAAGGACTTTTGTTGAAAATAAGCACAAATTCAGGACTATCTTGTTAGTAGTTGGACTTGGGTAAGGAGCTTATTCTGTACGTTGAACAGATGGAGAGAGGCAAGCATGAGGCTGGCACAGAGACAATTTTAGTGAATCTGTGGTAAAAATTTAAGGGGAAGGTTTGAAAACTAGTGCCACTTGGCTCACAGGGAGATTCTGACATTCTCTTGTCATGCTCTCCTTTTGCTCTCTTTCTCCAATGCTGCCACAGCCACACACACACACACACACACAATATTTTGTGGAGTGCCAGCCTTGTGTAACCATTTCAAGACCTTTAGCATCTTCTGAATTTATGGTACTGATTGGGACTTTTTCTTGGTATTAAAGCAGCTGCCCGCAAAAGAGGGAGTAGGAGCTGTGTGTGCGTGTTGACCCCACACCAATGATTCAGGTAGCTATTCAATTGGTTGTTCAGCTAACTAGCCCTCTATGTATAAATAAAATGCCTGGTTTTAACTATTTGATATACTTATAAATTGTGGGTTTGTAGAGGTGTTAAGCATGTTTTGATTTGTTCCAGTAGCCGGATCGAGCTGGGAGATGTGACGCCACACAACATTAAGCAGCTGAAGAGGTTAAATCAGGTCATTTTTCCTGTCAGCTACAATGACAAGTTCTACAAGGACGTGCTGGAGGTTGGCGAACTAGCCAAATTAGGTACAGTTTTTGTCAGTAGTTTGGGGGTGGGCTGAAGTATTACCCTCCTCTGTTCTTGGTATTTGTGACACTAGCTCCTCCTGTTCTGTTAAGCAGTGAAAATATGCTTAGCTCTGTATGAGACACAGAAGAAGCCACAGTCCCTACCCTAAAGAACTTGCAGCCTAAATAGGGTCTCTCTTTATTGGGAGTAGGTGTTCTGTCCATTACCAGGGGAAGCACAGGAAGATGTACATGGAATCTCACCCCTTCTTCCCAAGTGGTTCATTGGCTGGACTTCTGATTAATCAAATCCTTTGACATGAGCACCACAGTGCAAACATCGCCCAGAAAATGTTAGCCAAGATTTAACATTTACCTGAATGTTTCTTGGAGCAATGTGGAAGGAGTTAAGTCATATGGAGATATGTCCAGTTATCTGACTAAAAGTTTTATTGTATTTTAGGGAGGAATATAATTATCCATGTTCCCCGGAAAAAGTGGCTGTGGGGAAAGAGAAGTGAAGGAAGACAAATGAAGGATAGGATATTTATAAGACTTGAGATTTCTAAATGACCAAAACTTGACTGTTTCCCCTCTCTGGCAGCATATTTCAATGATATTGCAGTGGGTGCGGTGTGCTGCAGAGTGGATCACTCTCAGAACCAGAAGAGACTTTACATCATGACACTTGGATGCCTGGCACCCTACCGAAGGCTAGGAATAGGTAAGGCTATCTGCATTTTGATCTGTGTCTTCAAAGAAACATGAGTCTTGGGCCAGCCTACTGAATGCTTTTCCAAAGTTTTCAGTTCCTTTGATACAGCAGAACTTAATGCTTTATTAGAAGATGATTCCTGTCTTAGGAAGGGAACTGTGGGAAAGAAGAACTTGGTTTATAGCAAACTCTGCTTTCTCTGTCCTGTGGAAGTGAGACTGCACTTCTATAGTGCTTTCTAACTCAAGATTTCAAAGGGCTCTTTATATATCAAGCCTAAGACCCTCCCTGTGATGTAGGTATTCTATTTTATAGATTAAAAAAGACTGAAGCAAAGAGAGGTGAAATGACATGTCTTAGGGTCTCACAGCCAGTCAGTGGCACACGTAGAAATATAACCTGCTTTTCCTACTGGACAATGCTCCTTCCGTTCACCATCACAATAAGTTAACTCTCCCTGTTTGAGAGGAGCTGCTATCTTCTGTCTACATCATGGTGTATAGTTTGGGGTTTTTTCCAGCTTTTTCTCCCAGATCTATGGGCTTCTCATATTAATCCAGGCCTTTTATTTCCATTAAAATGTTTCATTGGGACAAACTGAAGCCAAAAATGAAGTTTTATTCATTTAAATTATTTGTTACCTGCTTGTCAGGTAATGTTAATAATACTGCCAATGCTATTGCTTAAATTTAATCGCATTTTTTGCTCACTTTAAGGCCCTAGAAGCTTGCTTGTGAAGAAGGTTCTCCTATCAAATCATTGGTACCACATAGAGTTGCTTATGAGCATTGCTAGGCTTTAAGCTTTTTCTGTTAGCTTGTAAAGCATTAAGGCATTTTCTTAAAAGAAATTATAAAGAATTAGACTTTGCGAACAGTCAAAGGAGAGAAGATAGGCCTATTAATCTTAATTTAATTTGCTTAAACTCTCTGCATCTGTTCACCTATGGGGAAAATACATCACAAGGTGTTGGGAGGCTTAATTCATAAATATGTAAGATGATTTGAAATCTTTCATAAAAGGTGGTACAGAAGAGCAAACTAATATGTTCAGTAATCTTTTCTGTTCTAAGTATGTTTCCTGGTCTTCTGATGTGAGGTTTCTCTTCTTTTTAATGTCTTCTTTTGCAGGGAGTCGTCCTTGTGATTGATATTTTTAAGCCTCCCTGAGGCCTTTGGATTTGGGCAACTTAATTTTAAGTTACTGTTTAAAATACCCAGTGTATAAATTTTAATGTTCATAGCAGCCTCAAATAACACTTAAAACATGAACTGCAGTGTATAGTATGCTAATTTCAGAGTACAATAACAATGCTCTCAGCACTTGCTCTAGGAATATGTCATATGAACTCACTAAGAGCAGTACATCCCTGCTTAGGGAATTAAACAGTTATAGAGCTGACTGCAAACATTAAACTGATTTGGTTGCACATTTGTGGAGTGATGAAGTCTCTCTTTATTCCTTGGCAGGAACTAAAATGTTGAATCACGTCTTAAACATCTGTGAGAAAGATGGCACTTTTGACAACATCTATCTGTAAGTAAATTACACTCTTATTCTCCTGGGTTTGGGAGAGGCTCTATAGGAGAGTGAGGAGGGTGCAATATCATTTCAGTTTCAATTGCTGTGGAATGATGGGTCAAACGTGGTCCCATCTTACAAGTACTGCCCAGCCAGTCAGCACTTAAGTTCTGGGTTTGTTCCAGGCACTGCCCAGTAGCAGAAGCTTCCCTAGTTTTGGAAGGTTTCCTTCAAAAGTAGTGCTGAATTTTAAAGTAGGGCTGTCGATTAATCACAGTTTAACTTATACAATTAACTCAAAAAAATTAATCATGATTAATCGCAATGTTAAACAATAGAATACCAATTGAAATTTATTAAATATTTTTGGATGTTTTTCTACATTTTCAAATATATTGATTTCAATTACAACACAGAATACAAAATGTACACTGCTCACTTTATATTATTTTGATTACAAATATTTGCACTGTAAACAATATTAAACAAAAGAAACAGTATTTTTCAATTCACCTCATTCATAAATTCTAGGACTGGAAGGGACCTCGAGAGGTCATCGAATCCAGTCCCCAAGTACTGTAGTACAATCTCTATCATGAAAGTGCAACTTAAAATGTGTTTTTTTTTGTTATATAAACTGCACTCAAAAACAATACAGTGTAAAACTTTAGTATACAAGTCCACTCAGTCCTACTTCTTGTTCAGCCAATTGCTCAAACAAGTTTGTTTACATTTATGGGAGATAATGCTGCCCACTTCTTAATTACAATGTCACCTGAAAATGAAAACGGGCTTTTGCATGGCACTGTTGTAGCTGGCGTCACAAGATATTTACATGCCAGATGTGCTAAAGATTCATATGTCCCTTGATACTTCAAACGCCATTCCAGAGGACATGCTTCCATGCTGATGACGCTTGTTTAAAAAAATAATGCGTTAATTAAATTTGTGACTGAACTCCTTGGGGGAGAATTGTATGTCTCCTCATCTGTTTTACCTGCATTCTGCCATATATTTCACGTTATAGCAATCTCTGATGATGACCCAGCACAAGTTGTTCGTTTTAAGAACACTTTCACTGCAAATTTGACAAAATGCAAAGAAAATACTAATGTGGAATTTCCAAAGATCGCTACAGCACTTGACCCAAGATTTAAGAATCTGAAGTGCTTTCCAAAATCTGAGAGGGATGAGGTGTGGAGCATGCTTTCAGAAGTCATAAAAGAGCAACACTCTGATGCAGAAATTACAGAACCCAAACCACCAAAAACGAAAATCAACCTTCTGCTGGTGGCCTCTGACTCAGATGATGAAAATGAACGTGCGTTGATCCACACTGCTTTGGATCGTTATCGAGCAGAACCTGTCATTAGCATGGATGCATGTCCTCTGGAATGGTGGTTGAAGTATCATTTTTGAATGCAGGGTTTTTTTTGTACATAATTCTACATTTGTAAGTTCAATTTTCAGGATAGAGATTGAAAAATACTAATTGTTTTTTACAGTGCAAATATATGTAATCAAAATAAATGTAAAGTGAGCACTGTACGCTTTGTATTTTGTGTTGTTTTTTTAAATGTAGAAAACATCCACACATTTAAATAAATGATATTCTGTTATTGCCTAATAGGGTGATTAATCACGGATTAATTTTTTTAATCGCCTGACAGCCCTATTTTAAAGCACTGTAACTACATGCTAATGGCCAAGCAGCAAGATTGATTAAACAATGGGCAGCATTAAAAAATAAACAAACATTTACCACACTGATATCTCCTCTCCTTAGAGTAGAGAATACTACAAATCCTATATTAAATTAAACTGTCACAGGTGGTAAGTGTCTATAATGATACCCAGTCCACTCATGTACATTAAAACACCAGATCACTAGAAACTGTGCTTTCAGTCCTCTGCTTCAGAGCAGTTGACTGAATCTTGAGCCTCCACCAGGACTGCTGAAGACCCTAGTGTGTGGAATGTTTAACAAGCTAGTATGTCCTGATGGATTGGTCACTGCATTAGCAGGAAGCTGGAGCAAAGACCCTAATGGGAGAATTCTCAAAAATTTACTGTGCTGACTCTGGCTAGTAGTGACTAATAGGAAAAGCATTGTAGAGGAGCATGTTTCCAAACTAACTAAAGTGCTTCCTGCTCTCTCTTCTCGGAGGTAGTGGCCTATCAGGCCCATCTTTAAACATTTGTTAATTGATACTAGTTTTCCTTCTCTCTCTTCAAATTAAGAAGCTACAGTAATGTGCACATTGGAAGACTGATCTTAAATATCTGCTGCTGTTGCCAAAAAAAAGGGGAGGGGGCCCTACATAAACTTTCTCTCCACCCACCAAAGTACTGTACTAGGATGGGAGATGAATAGCTCGCAAAGATGGGCACACCAAATACCTGTTAAGGGTGGCCATATTCTTGGTTTTGCTGGCACTTGGGCCAACATCTTCAAATTTAGGTCCTTAACTTTAGGCAACCAATGTTCAAAAACATGGCTTTATGTCAGAAGTGTGAAATGCCCTCTTAGATGTTGACCATTGCTGGAGCTGTGGACTCTGTTTTTGTTCCGTTGGTTCCACATCATGTCATTTAGCACCTTGATATGTGAAAGCAGTGATTCCCAGGCTTTTTACTAAGGCAACCCACCAGCTGCATTTTGTCTGTATTTGCGACCCACCATTACATAAATGCACCCTTCACCCTGACACAGCAACCCTAATCCCAGCCCAGTTGCAGAAGGGAGGCCCTGGGGTGGGGGTGGGGAAGTGCTGGAGAGCAAGCTCACGCTACTATGGTGACTCCTGTCCCACCGGGCTTTGCTCCAGGCATTGATGCATGGGTTTGCAGATGGTGGAGCTGGGAGTTGGCCTAGCCTCTCAGGACAGGAGCCACTGCTGCGAGGTGAGTTCAGGTCTGGCTCACTGTCCAAACCTCCAGACCTCCCCTCTGTCCCAGGGTGAGAGAAGTGTGTGTTTGCCTAGGCCAGGGCCCTGTGATGGGTTAATCTGGCCCTGGATGTGGCAATGCATCTGGAACCTTGCTACAATCCCACTGGTGGGGCTGGGACCCACTATTTGGGAAATGCTGTACTAAAGCATCTTGATCCACAAACACCTGGCGTGTCTGTTCAACTCTGAAAATATTTAGTTAACAGATACTACTGAGCCAGCAGGAGTCGAAACAGATCTTTTTTTATAAGACCCATGACAGAAATTAAGTCCCCTAACAGTTTAGCATAGAAAACTAAAGGCTGTTTAGGGGGATTATCTGCCACCTCCCCAAAAGTTTCTGTTCTCCCAAGCTTTGTAAAACTCTAAAGAAGAGGGAGAAATGTTTCCCAAACCCCATAGAATCTGTCTATGCTACAAAAACTATTGTATTGGAGGGAAGGTGCTGTATTGCAAAGCCCCAACCATATCTGAACAGTCTGGTCTTGCCTGTGTGGATTGGGCCAAGGCATGTGTTAATACCATCAGAGCACTCTTATGTTGTGGTAGAATCCATGACATGATGGTCATTGATAAGCCTTATTTTACTGTAGTGTTTAGAGTGTGTTACTGAAGGAAGTTACACAATCAAACTGCAGTAGTGTCTCCAATGAAACTAGGTTGTATTGTTATATTTCACAAAATATCTGCCACTAGGGTGACCAGATGTCCCGATTTATAGGGACAGTCCCGATATTTGGGTCTTTTTCTTAGATAGGCTCCTATTACCCCCCCACCCCCCC